CTTACACGAAATAGGGTTAATACATCTCATTACACTGATTTACTGGTAGTCTCGAAACCCTACTTACATAGTCTTCTGGACTCGACTTTGCGATCGAGTGGAATTGTACGATGCTGAAGCGATGTGTAGGTCGATCGGCTTCCCGAAGTCTGCAGTCGTCGGGTGCTACCTGAACGATGAGGTGACGCCGTCCTCTTTCCAGTTGACACAATTCATCACAGCCGATAGATGCATTCATAAAATAACTTTGAGCCGGCAACAGGTCACGAGGGCCTTCAAGTGTTGGGTATATGCATAAAATAGTTCAACTAACGGCAGGTACAGAAAGATTTGATTTTTTTCTTACCAAGTCTGTCCACACTGATGCACAGCGCAGTGTGTGCATGTCAATGCATGCATGCAGGCAGGCAGGCAGGAATGCCAGTTTCACTCACAGTTAAGATGCAAATGGTATGACAGGTCTGATGTCAAAAATCACGACGGATGAAGGCTAAGCAGGCACTCACCGGAACGCAACGAGGCTGGATCTCCAAGAGCATCCAAATGATAACGGACTAAATGAAAACCGAGTGTCGTCTACTCGTGAGATCGGATCAGGTAACAATCGGAAAAGTCATCAATACCAACTTATCACGGTGTAATAATAATAATAATAATAATAATAATAATAATAATAATAATAATAATAATAATAATAATAATAATAATGCTAATGATAATGTTGATGGGTGGTGATAATGATGCTGATGATCATGAAGATGAAGAAGATGATAAATATAATAGTGATGATGGCAATGATGGGTGTGGGATGGTGAATGATAATGAAGAAGATGATGATGATGACTGTGATGCTAGTAATAATAATGATGCTTAGTATTACTGCAAGATTATCGCAAATCACATCACACGACATTCTATCGATTGTTGTCCGCTTCGAAGCGAACAAGTTGTTGGCAAAAGAAGGCATGTTGCACAGTCGAAAGGTGACATTGTGCAAAGAGTTTGTGCCTCCTTAATTCCTAGCCCTGTCATTCCGATCCGCGCGGACCCAGCTGTCAGAGCCAGAAACCATAGTTTAGGAAAAAAGTATTGATATTATTAACCATGACAAATGGTTTTCTGATCTGTGGATGCCTGCCAGGGCTGGAGTTCTTAGTTCATCTCTACACTCGCAACTGGCCGTGAAAGACAAATTTGTGTAACCCTTTCTTTGCGAAATGGAATGTCATGTCACAATGTATCACTAGAAGATATTCCGAAACCCAGTTTTTCTATATGTATTCAAAATAAATCACAATTATGATATTGGAACTGTTGACGATTGGACAAACTTGAATGTTATATGAGATGCATTTACTCTATTTCATTTAAGGTGATGAAGGATTGGTAGTTTACTTTTCCCACTATGATATAAGTAGAGCTGATGTCTCCATTGAATGTCACATAGCCTAAAAGTGTTAATCGAAAAACTTGAATTTGTCCTCTTCAAGTAGGTTTTCGAGGCCACCAAAGGGTCATATATATTTATGTTGTTGTATTCATATTATTTCGTTTAAGGTGATGAGGGACTGGAAATTGAATTTTATCATAATAATATCAATATGCCTTAGTTTACATACCCTTTTTTCCAATCCCAACTGGAGAGGACTGCAGTTTCGACTTCGCCAAAATTGGTCTCATCAGAATCTACAGTGGGACTCGGACCCAGGTTGTGCTATAAAAGCGTATAATCTCGATACGTCAACCACTACGTCAAACTGCCACGAGTGACATTGGTTAACAGGGCAGATATGAACTTTAAAGAAAGCCATAATTCTGTGGAGAGATTGTCGACGAAGCATAGTTATATTTGCTATCACAACCGATCATACTACTGGTTAATCCGTTTATAAGTAGGTCGGAAAAAAGTGAAATGTGAAATTAAAAATAAAATCACGGCTTACTCATAGTATTCTAAACGAAATGATATGAATATAGCTCTTATATCAAGTTTAAATTTTTCATTACATTCAAACACACTACTATATACCGGATGAGTAGATTTCGAAACTATAGATTTCATTTTATTGAGTTTCACCCCTAAAGTCACTGTCGGGTTGACCTAGCCTCGTCATTTCGCCAGCACTCTCAGTGAGATTCCAAAGTTGCGCCAAATTCGCGTGGCCTAAGAGATGGTGCGCTTGCCTACGAGCCCTCAGGACCACGGTTCTAGTCGCGCTGGAGGGGCTGGCTTGGTGACGCGGTGGATTCGGGATCAGAGTCTGTCATGAAATGAGAATGGCCCGTTAAGATGCAGAGCGGAGCGAAGTTGAGCGAGAAAATCGAGTCCTCACTTTCAGCTCATTGAAGACGGAGGAGCCGTCGGGTCTAGTGAAACGAAACGAGACGAGACGAGATGAAACTGAGACATATTGATGAGGGTATGCAAGTAACCGACAGGAAGAGACAGCAACCGACAGGAACAGGGAAGATTCCGACTGTTCGAGAAAGTGCTCTCTCTCTCACTCAAGTGAACGCCTGCGTGAGTTTGTGCGAAAAAGAGGAGGTGGTGGTAGAAGCCCAGCCACGAATGAATGCAGACGAGGGAAGTACGAGTCTTTACGGGATCAAGGGCAGATAGTGAGTGTGCATGCATCGAAATGTATACGCCTATACGAGCATTGGGGAAAACGGGAGAAGCCGGGCTGGCAGTAAGAACGAGTAAGCTGAGAGCCAATAAGGAGTGTGGTTAAAATTTGTCTCACATGTGAGACCACAGTCGGTGTACCCGGTGTCAATACCGTCAAGGTTGATAGGGCCAGCAGT